CAGTAGGACAGGCAGCAGCCCTGGCTTGAGGAGAGCTGTGTACCCTGTGGAGTGCAGAGCTGAGAGAAGCAAGGCCATGTCATCTACAGCTGCTGACCAAAAAGCCAATGTGACACTGGAGGCCACTCCAGCCCACAGCCTCCCAGCTGCCCTCCCTACTTCTACAGAGCAGCTATGAGAAGGAGACCCCAACGCAGGAGCAATCCTGAGACCCCGACTGGGATGAGTAAACAATTTCGAGGCCACTCGATGGCCATACAGTCCCCCAGCTAGCGCTGCAGATGGTAGAAAAGGCAGTGGGCCTGTGGGTCCAGATGCAGGTCCACCCAAACCTAGACTGTGGCCTTGTTTGGAAAAAGGGTCTTTGTAGACATAATCAAGTTGAGGAGATTGGTGACCAGGGTTATCCAGCCAAGGGACTGCAGAGCCACTGGGAGCCTGACCCCATCACCCAGCCTCAGAGGGCCATAGCCTGAAGCACCCAATACTGGGACTTTTGGTGCTCAGAATGCCCAGCCTGGCAGTTTGTTCCAGTGGCTGCAGGACACTGACAGTCGCAGTGTTTTAGAGAAGTTGTGACTCGCCACAGAGCAGCTCTGGCCATGCTCCTGTCACCGTGGCCTGTTAGAGGTAAAAGGCACTGAGCAACAACTGGAGAGACGTCCTGGCCACTGCATGTGTTAGAGGCACCCATCCAGGAGAGGAAAAGTGTGGCAGCCCAAGGTCACCTCCCATGGCCCCGAGGTGGGGCTGGACCTGGCTCAGCTTCTGGTCCAGGTGCTGACAGCACAGAAGACTCAGGCTAGGCCACCGCCTTGCACATGCTGCCATCCCAAATGTCCTGGGGGACCCTACTCTCCATTCAGCTGCAGCCAGCAGCCAGTCCTGCAGCTCCTTGTATGCGGCTAGAGCTCAGCAAGGCCCTGGCTGCCTCCCCGGCAGGGACTGTACTCCTCTGCTGTCCGGAACAGACAGGTTCATGGGGGTGTTAAACCCCCCCCCCATCTGGGTCTTCCTCTCCCACCTCCTGCTGCCAGGAGGTGACACCTTGGAGCTGGACTTTGTGGCCACTGCTGTGGGAACACTGAGGCTCCGAGCCCTTCCTCTGAACCTTGGAGCTTCCTACCCTCCTTAGCCACAGGGAATGATAATGTGGGGCTTGGGGGCTTGGAGCTTCACAGGGAAAGCCAGAGACTTCCAGTCAGGAAGAAGGCTGCGGGTGGTGTACCCTGGGGCCCACACTTGCTGTCCTATCCTGTGCTGTTGGGGTCTCTCCCAGCAGGGCCAGTGCTGCTCTGCAGACCTGCACTGGGTCTGGGGCCTTCCCAGGGAGATTACCAAGGTCAGTGGGTCATGGGGCTGGGTGCTGTGGCCAGTGGACCCTCTAGACCTCTTAGGGGACAAGCACAAGACAAGAGACAGGCCTGCTGGCAAAGGGCCAGATGGTGGGGGCCAGGCTTGACACCTGTTCACTTGGCAGCTGTCCTGCAGAGATGGAGAGAGACCCCACATGGGGCTCAGCAGCTTCCTGTGTTCTATGTGCATTGGGGGGTGACTCAGTTCTTGGCCTCAGCTGCAGTAGGTGCTTGGTTAGCACCAGCTACTGTTACCCATGTTTGGATAATGGGGCCAGAGCCTCTCCCAGGACACCTCTCACTTCAAGGTGGCTGCCAGGCCCTCTGCAGGGGGACACTGAGACTTGCACCCACCTGGCCTTCCCCATCTTTGCCCACCAGGGCCACGACTGCAGTGCCGGCTGGGTGCCACTGGGGTGAGCTGCTGCCCAGGACACTACTCATCCACCTGACCTCCCCACTCCACGGTCCCCACCTCTCCTCCCACGGGGACTCCCTCAGGTGCCTGGAGGTGTGCTGTGGCAGCAGCTGTCACCTTAGGGCTCTCTGGGCAAGTCAGAGGTCCCATGCCAATATGCAGGTCAAAGGTGGCAGGGAGGGGAATGGCTTCAGCCCTGACATCCTGTGAGGTCCTCACGATGTCCCCAAGTGGTCACCGCACAAAGTGTCCCTTGGGGGCAGGGCCTGGCTCATTCTCACCACAACTTGTCCCTCTGTCTCCAGGATGCAGAAGAAGGCACCCAAGGCAATGTCACATACAGAGGAAACCTTGCAAGCAGCAGGAACAGAAGTGGTTGGGACACTCCCGGCGGGTAGCCAGGGAGAGTAGGCACCTGAGAGCCTGCTGGTAGGATGGGACTCTCCTCCAGGACCCTGCAGTTGACAGTCACCTGGGGGGAAGATGGTACATGGTGGGGGGCCCAGCCCTGGGTGTGTTGTTGTGCTCTCAGCAATAGGAGACTCAGAGGTGTCCCTGTGAGCCCTCCTTCAGAGAGGAAAGATGGGGTCCACAGCCCCCGGGAGCAGGATGCCAGGAAGTCAGGGCTGCTGCAGGCCCTCAGCTGGCCGGCATCACAAAAATGGCTGGGTGTGCAAACCCTCTGTGGGCACCCTGATCCTCATGCCAGCCCCACACGTGACTCCACAGTGACCCCTCTGCGTAGGACCTAAGGCCAAAGATCCCCAGAACTGTGGTGCTGCTGTCCCATAGCATGATCTGGGAAGGGTCCCCTGGGAGTCCTTCAAAGGCCACACTGTCCCAAGCCAGGCTGAGCACGGGTGGGTCCAGTATGTCCAGCCTGCAGGCAGAGAGCACCCGGAGGCAGCTGTGGCCACAGGCAGTGGGGAAGGCCATTGTCGGGCAGCAGGCAGCAGCCCAGGCCCTGACTGCTGACGGAGTCCCCACACTGTTTTCCCCCATATTTTTCCAATAAAGAAGCAGACACCAACTGCAGCCTTTGGGAGGGACCATCTGGCAGCATACTGCACCAGTTGGCAGAGTGCCCAGCCTCCAGCAGCTGTGGAGGAGGGAGGCAGGAAGTGGGGGAGGGTCCTGTCTTCAGGTGAGCTGGGCTGGCAGGACAAGAGCCCAGAGGTTGAGAGTGGACTCACAGAGCAGACTGGCCATGGGTGTGAGCCTTGTGCTGCCCCAGCCACTTGCCCAGCCTCCCCTCTCGTGGCAACACCACCCCAGTGGCCTGGCACAATGAGCTCCCATAGCTTTCCTACCACCTGCCAACCACGTTTCCAGCCACCATGCACCACCATTCACTCAGCCACTTCCAGGCCATCGCATGCTGGGGTGGGGACACTGGTGGCAAAGCTGTGTGTGGATGGGTGTCCCAGGGTCCTGGTTGTCCCATAGCTGCTGAAGACTCACCCTCCCCATTCCTGATGTCTACAGCTAAAGGAGCTGCCCTTGGAGGTGCCCAGAGACCATGCCTCTTCCCTGGTTCATGCCTCAGGCCGGCAAGGGCTCCATAGAGCAGTACCCACAGCTGAAGCTCCACAGCCAAGAACACAGCATGCCAGAGGGAACCAGGCACACAAGGAACAGGCATTGAGCCACAACTGGTGTCACATGTGGCCAGGAAAGTGGAGACGACCAGGGCACCCGTGTGAGCTTCAAGCTCTCTGGACCTTCCAATGCTTCTCCATGCCTGAGCTGTGCAGTCCTCACCATTCTCTGGCCTCTGTCTCTTGTCTGCCTGGGGTGCAATGCCTCTGAACACACCCCAGCAGCACAGAGCCCCGGTGCCCACAGGAAAGGACAGGGCGAGCCCAGGTCAGCGCTAATCTGGGGGAAGAGGGAGGGCGAGTCAGGTCTAATGCAGGGAGCTGGGCTTGGGCTGGCAGGAGGCCTGTGCCTGCCCCTTGGGGCTTTCTGAGGACCTAACCTCAATCCACCTGCTCTGCTCGCTACTCTGTGGCCCTCAAGCAAGGCAACTTGGACCACCCTGCTCCTAGCTCTCAGTGTGAGTGGGGACACTGAGGCAAGACATGTGAGCTGCCTCACCTACCCTCTCCTCCACTGCTGTTGCTGCCGAGCCCAACAGTGTGTGCCTCACGTGTGGGCATGGCCCAGTGCACTGTGTGCATCCCAGCCCCCTCTGGGTACCAAATTGCAGTGGGAGGCCCTGTCCAACCTGCAGAGGCTGTGCTGGCCCTTGGAGGCCACGGCAGGAGTCGGACCTGCTGTGGTGGTGCTGCAGCCCCGTGGCCTGGTGATGAGAGCTGGCTCACTGCTGGGGTGCAGGCAGGTGGCAACGGGGTGGCCCTTGTCCCTTCATCCATGTCTCTTACCCTCCTCAGAGGCAGGAGGGAATGGGAGCTGCCCCGCCCTGCCCCCATGGTCTGTTTCTCTGAACATGGCTTAGAAGCCCCTGGCTCAGACCCTTCTCTGGGCCATGACCAGGCCTGGCCAGGGGTGGCAGAGCAGTGAGCAGCACTGGCCCTACACGTTTGCTCCTCCCTGTGGTGCCTGCCACATGTGTGGCCTATAAGCACAGGGCACATAAGCTCCTCTGTACACGATCACCTTCCCAGATGGGCTGTGGCACCACGAAAGCAGCACTGCCCCAGGTGGCTGGGGTCTTGGGTTGACCCACCATTGGGTCGCCTGCTCAGGAAAGCTGCCTGGAGACCAGAGGGGTGTAGCCTACCCTGCTGCTAGTACCTGCCATGGAGTCTGTGCTGAGTTCCTGCTGGCCTGTGCTTACCTAGGGCCCAGGCATGGCCATGAGCAGGACCTGTGCAGGGGCCCAAGTCACTCAGTGTGTGACCATGGACAGGTCCTCACCCCAGCCGCAGGGCTGGCACAATGCCACCCTGCAGGGTGCTAGGGTCCCAAGAAGGCGCAGGAGGCCAGAGGGTAGCTCAGCTGACCCCATGATGAGTGCTGGCTAATAGAACTTGGTTCCTCAGGAGAGGGTGATGGTCAATGGTCTCCCCATCCTGGCTTCCAGTCCCCCAACCTGAAAGGCCTGGTGTCTGCACTGCCTGCGGGGCTCTGCTGGCTCAAGGTACCTTCCTCTTCCCTACTTCCAAGCCCATGAGGCTGATACTCCCATAGCGGAGCTCCCTCTGCCTGGTGTCCAGGGTCCACCCTGCCCGCGTCAGGAGGAAGACAGAGGCAGCTGGGCTTACCTTGTCATCCATGCCACTCTCGCTGTCACACTGTGGGAACAGAGAAAAGCAAGTCAGTCAGGGCCCTCCACACTCCTGGGTCACAGGATGGTGGGTGGTGGGGGACAGAGTGGGGAGGGCTGAGGGGCAGCAGTCAGGGCTGAGGCTGGACAAGGGCACAACTAGGCCGACTTGCCCAGAGTGAACAAGAGCCCAAGCTCAAGCCAGCCCTGTAGCAAGACAGAGAGAGAGAGAGAGAGAGAGAGAAAGAGAGAGAGAGAGAGAGAGAGAGAGAGAGAGAGAGAGAGAGAGAGAGACTGATTGAGAGAGCCCAGCACCCAGACCCAGAGCAGGCCACACTGGCTGGATGGAGGTGTCAGCGTGGAGCAGCACAGCTGGCCTCCTGTGCAGGTGCAACATGGCCCTGTGGCCCCGCAGCCTCGGGGAGAGCTCTGAGCCGGGGCCTTGCCCTGGTTCAATGCAGTGTGCACAACAGCTGTCCCACACCCAGATGGATGGCCCAGGGGAAACGGACAGCGGGGCACGTGGCTCGTGCCCGGGGCAGACATGCTGCCATATAGCCCTGAGAGCCCACGGCACCCAGCCCCTCCTGATCCACGGGCGACATACTCAGGAGGAAGCAGGGCTGTCGAGCGCCGAGCGCTCTGCCTCGACGCAAGCCCATGACAGTCAAGAAAACAAATCTTGTCGTTCCAAATCTTCTTTGCTAAGCTGAGCTCTAAAGGGATGCACAGCTTGAGAAACAATGCAATTCCCCCTAGAAGGGTAAAAGAGAGACCCGCCCTTCCCAGCAGTGGTGACTGGGACCGTGCCTGGCACATGCACTATCTGCCAGAGAGAAATCCTGCCCAGATGCATGGGAGGGTGGCTGGCCCCAGCCAGGTATGAGCCAGGTGGAACTTAAAGGCTTGCACTCCCCATGATCAAAGGCAGGGTGAGCAACTCACACTGCCTTTCCCCAGGACCTGGCTGATGGCTGCACGGCCTTCAGTGGCAAAGCTCACAGAGGAGATGAGAGGTCTCACTGGCTCCTAGCAGCACCAGAAGCAGCATGCCAGTCGGGTGGCAGAGTGCTGGCAGCTCGAGTGGATTGCTGGGTGGGCACGGGCCGCAGGCTTTACACCACAGCCTGGTAGGCCATCTGCCCCATGGGCCCGGTCAGCCCAGCTGGACATCCTGTCCCACACAGAGGACGCTGTGGCCTCTCCTGGCTGAGCAAGCCCACCCAGATCCCAGTCTTGGCCCTCCCAGTGAGAGGTGTCAGGAAGTGCTGTCCTGAGTGCCCTGGCCAGCAGAGTTGTGCCTTCTCCACCCAGGTGAGCTGCCTCTGAGGCTGAGCACCCCCTCATGAGGCAGGGAGGACCTGGCATAGGGCCTGTGGGCAGAAAGAAAGGTCTCCCAGCTGACTGCTGGGAGGGCCAGGACCTGGGATTTGGGGGCTGGTGAGACGCCAGAGCTCACGAGAGGAAAAGGAAGGCAAGGCAGCAGGGAGGCACAAGGCTGGATGGGCAGGGCTGCAGGAGCTGCAGACACCGGGGCGTGTGTACGTGGGAGACAGTTCAGGCACTGTGACAGCCCTGGGGATGGCCCTCTGTTGCTGGCAGAGACCAGCAGGAGGAGTAGATTATGGACTGTGGGAGACAGACACCGGAGATGGTCAGTGTGTCCTTTGCTCCTGCAGCCTGGGCCTCACCCTGCTTAGCAGCCCTGGGACCCATCACACTGGCAGGGCATGGATCTGGCCTCCTAGGGCTGCTTGTCACTCAGGGCCACTGAGCACTTGCTGGGCCTGTCCTTAGCTCTGTCCCCATTACCCCCCAGGCTAGAGAACATAGTCACACAGACCCAATCCAGGCTGGTTACCAGCTTTCCTGCAGCCTCAGGGTCACAGGGCTGACCTGGCAGGGCTGGGCAGTGAGGCCCAAGGGTGGCAGTTTAATGTGTCCACCGTCAAGCAGTGGGGCCTCCTGTAGGCCCAGGAGGGTGACCTCCCTCTCATCACCACACATCATGCTATGGTTGGTGCCATGGGGATGGCTGACAAGGAATTCAAGTCGTTAAATCCTACGGAATTAAGGCTTAACTGCAGCGGAGCTGGAACTGAGGTAATTAATCAGCACGGACAGAACAAGAGCCACATCCATCCTTTTGGAGTTGCCTGAGTAAGGTGAGCTTTGTGTGCTAGAACTGGGTTCTACAGCCTTGATGTGGGCATGGACAGTGCTCATGCCCGAAGAGAGAAGGCACAGATGGCCAGGCCCAGGAGACAGCTCCAGAAGGGACCCTGCTGTAATGCTGCACTACCTGAGAGGTGCAGCCTTGGAAAAGTCCCGAGTCTTCGTGCCTCAGTTTATGCCTCTGGAAAACAGTGACAATAGTCTGTTTACAGGGCTGACACGTACCTTAAGTGAGTGAATATATGCAGAACTATCCTAGTGCCTGGTGCACAGTACAAGATACATGTGGTGGGATCGCCACCACCACCACCACCCTGAGAGGCTGCAGAGGCAGTGTGGCAATGAGGCAGCCATAGAAGTTGCCTTTTTCTTCTCAGCATGAACGTTAATTACTGCTCACTACTTCTCTGTGTGTATGCTTTCCGGAGCCTGTCTATCTCCCAAGGCTCAGACAAAGGCATGCACATTCACGACCGTGCTAGCAGGGCTGGTCAGCTGCCCAGAGGTACTATGAGTCACCACCAGACAGGCCTGCAGGGATGCTGCCTGGCTCCAGAGCCCGTTGCCCTGGGTCTCTGTGTGGGTTGGCTGCAGAGGCAGTCCTGGTGGTGTGGCAGCCTGGATCTTACCCGAGCCTCTTCGCTAACTAAAAGAACTCTCAATGACACTGACAGGAGGCCCCTGACCTACACACATGACAGGAATACTGGGAATACTGGGCACTGCAGGACCCACGGCCACAGCAGGCAAGGGGTCAGCCTGGCCAGGATGGAGCAGCAGGGCCAAGCTGTAGGCATGTTTGTTGCTGGCGCACAGCCTACTGTGTGCACACATGGGAGCCCTTGGCTCCTGGGGTTTGTCTAGGACTTGGGTCCCTGGTGTGTGGCCACATACCCTGGATGTGTTGGTACCAGGCCACACCTGAGCTCAGGGCCTCCTGCCAATGGTGCCTCTCTCCTTGGAGTGCTACCTGGGTTCTGCCATATGCACAGGAGGACTATGCCAGGGACACAGAGGACACATGGTGACGCAGTCCCTGAACCCCAGTCCTGGGCCTCCAGTTTCCAGGTCGGCCTGGCAGGCACAACCCTGGGAAGCGTAGGGATAGGGAGGAGATGAGGGCTCCAGGGTTCCAGACCTCTCTCCTCCATGTCCTTCCTTTGTGCCACCTGTTCACGGGGCTGCACACCATTCAGCCATGTCACCAAACATGGAGCTGGGCGCCGGCACAGCAGCTGGCCTGGAAGGTCAGTGTGAGTGCTGCTCAGCGCTCACCGCTTCTGTGTGCTTGTGCTTTCACAAACTCCCGTGACAACTGGCTGGGGACAGTGGGCAAGGAAGGCTGTGGTCCCAGACAGGACAGGGGCTGTGGCCCTGGCGGGAGGAAGGGGCACCCTGGCTGGCCTGGCCTTTTGGTGCCACTGGACCCCCTGGGCTCTAGGCCTCTGCACAGCAGTCGCCTCTAGGAACCCTGACTGTATACCGGTCAGGGAGGCGGCATGGGGCTCAGAGGCCGAGTGGGGGTGACTGAGCAGGAGGTCCCAGAGCCACAGTCCCATCACACCTGATTCTTTACTGAGCTAACTGCCGGGAACCTCACTCTTTACTCAGCTAATTCCTGTTTTCTGAGTGTTTAGGCTTTAAAATAAAACAAGGCAGGGGCCTGGCCCTAGCTCAGTTCTTTAAGTGGCTTCTTCCACAAAGCTGGCAGCCTCAGGTTGCTGTAGTTCGATCCCCACAACACTGCAGCCAGCCAAACCTGCCCTGAAGGCATTCGGAGCAAAAAAAAAAATCCTTATTCCATTTTTGGGGCAGGGGAGATGGCTCAGTAGAATAAGCACTTGCCTGGCAAGCCCAAGTGTCTGAGTTCAACAAAAAAACAAAAAAATAAAAAATACAAGGTGCTAATTACCCAATTAACAAGCCATTAAGTAACCACATCCCAACTGCCTTCTTCTCAGAAGGATGACCTTGCGCCTTATCTGCAACAGCAAGGAAGTCTGGACGGCACCAGGGCGCCTTTTCCCGTTCACCCAGACTGGCTGCCAGCACAGGGGCCTGGGCTGTGCCATGCACCCCCTGGGCCTGCGCTCCATGGCTCTGCGTTTGTGGACACTCGCAGCATTCTGCCCTTTCACTCATCTGGCATGAGGCTCTTTCCCAGGAACTGTCTGCCTTTCCTGTTGCCTCCGTGGGGGCAAACACCCTCTATCCTGCTGCTGCTATGCGGCCTGGGGTCCCAACCTGCAGCAAGGGCATCATCCTGTGTGCAGTCCCCTCCCCCATGGTGGCCTGCAGGCCTCTGAGGACTCACCTTGTGCGCAGCAACCCCCATGCAGTGGGAGTGGCATGTACATCAGGTGCTGCTCACACAGCTGCACACACGCACACTCACGGGCACACATAAGCGAACATGTGCACCCCGCCACACGGCCAGATGTACACAGGCATGTAGCCGTATCTGCTTGTGAGCGCCCTCCTGTCTCCCAGGTCTCAGGTCACTTGTCACCCTGGGTGGCCACTCCATCTGAGCCATGGAGCCCTCCAGCATTGGGCAGGCTCATCTCATACCTGCTCCGCACCTCCCTCCTCTCCGTTCCCTAGGAAGTGAGGCTGTCTAGGTTCTGCAACCTCCAGAGCTCCCAGGTGTCTTTCCTTCTCTCTGGGTCACCTCCCTTGCAGGAAGAGGGAAGGCAGTGACAGGGAATAAATGAAAGATGGCCCAGCTGGCGGTGGCACGTGCTGACCTTCTGAGCTGGCTGTATTCTTGTGCTGTCAGACACAAAGCACTAACTGCCTCATGAATTATTGATCCACACAAAGCCTTAACAGAAATGCTGTTAACACTAATTCCTAACCTTCTGTGTCACAGCGGCACACCTGCTCCCAAATAATTGAATTTCCACTTCCCCAAGTGCCTAACCCTCACAGAGCGCCCCAAACCTGCCTGACCCATCTCCAGCTGGACCACCCCTCTGCCCTCCGCATTGTGGACTATGGCAAGTCCCTGAGGAACACAGCCAGTGGTCCTTGTAGCCTGGGGTGTGAAGCAAGGGACTGGGCAGCCCTGGGATGAACTGGTGGGGGGGGGGCTATGGGGTTCAGGACTCATGGTGGGGTGGGGTGGGGTGGATGCAGGGAACCAGCCCTGGTGATGATGGGTAGCTGTGGCCAAGGAGGGCCAGCTGCAGAGGACAATTCCCATCCCATCTTGGGGATCACTACCTTCTCAGGACGCAGTGGCCCATCTGCAGTCAGGGTATGGGGGCAGGGCCAGCTCCACAGCAGGGCAAGGCCCTTGCCACACCAATCTAGGGACACAGGTGTCTGCCACTAGACACTGTGGTGCCATCAGAGTTTGGAAGCCTGGTCATCTCCCAGCACCCACCAAGAAAACTGGGAGCAGTGACCAGTTCTTCAGTCCTGAGGCCACGACCCCTGGCACAGCTTGCATGGCGCTCAGCCGAGGAGCTGCTTCCACCAGCAGACGCCACTGTTAGCACCTACACACGTGCGGCTTGACACATGCCAGAGCAAGCAACGGATCGGGTGGCTGCTGCAGATGCCGGAGCCCTGGAGGTGCACACAGAGTGTATACTCAGGCACCACAACTGAGGCCTGGGTCTCCCAGAACAGGGATGGGCAGCCAACTGCTCCATGCCCCACCGTGACACACCTGTCCCACTGTCCTACTAGGCAGGCCGAGGAAGGCCTAGAGGCTGTGGAGAGGGACCTGGCTACCTGATAAGCAATGGCTGGGGGACAAAGCCATTTGGGGCAGAAGAGTCACTGGAGGACACAGCCAGGTTGAGAGATAGAGAAGGAGGGGCAGAGTGCAGGAGCCTGGGAGAGGAGCAGGGAGTGTGGGCACAAGAATGTGGCCAGGTGAGCCAGGGTGGCCTGGATACCTGTGGCTCAAGAGACAGTGGGATGGAGTCCTACGTGCATCCCAGGATCTACCACCCCTCCTGCTGCCACAGTGTTCTGCATGTGCTGCTTCTGCACTGCACATGAGTCCTCGCCGCTCAGCCTATCAGCTCTTGGGGTCAGGGTAACCTTCTTACCTGAAGCCTCAGCCACACCACAGTCACCCAGCACTGAGCATGGAGCACGTGTGCCATGCCAGGGACTAGTGAGGTGGACATAATCTGTCCTGGGCCCAGCTCTAACCCAGGGCAGTGGGGGGGGGATATGGAGGCTCCAGGCTACAATCCCCCACCATGGACCCCTCAGCCCTCCCTGTCTGCTGGAAACAGCTCTTCTACCACACCTGTGTCCCAGTGGGCAGGTGATCCCAGCCCAGTAGGGCTGTGCTTCATGTGTAAAGCTGGGCCAGCTGACAAGGCCACAGCACTCAGCAGAGGTTCAGAGCAGAGCAGGCTGGGGAAGAGGGCTGCATGCAGGTGTGGCTCCTCAGGGCCACACAGCCAGGCTCCCCAACAGGCAGAGGGACACAGCGATGACTCATGTATCTAAACACACAGGGACATGGACGCATGTACACAGGACAGGGGACATGCAGACACAGGACACGGAGACAGGCACATACATGGGATTTGCAGACACATGCACACAAAGTATGTACATAAACACAGGAACACATAGAGCTGTGAGACACAGGGGCACACATATACTGCACACACACACAAACCAAGAGAACTGTGTGGTCCCTTTAGATGAGGCATGAACAGCACCCATGCAGGCTATGTCCACAGACACGTGTGTGACACAAACGTGTCAACATAGCATAAAAAGAGCCAGGTGTGCATTGGGATGGGTGCCCACTCACTTGTGCACAAAGGCACCCACACTATCAGCTGACACACCCATACCTGACACACTGACCCAGTGTTGGCCACAGCCACTCTGCCCTGGCCCCGCCAGCCCTGCCTAGCCTGAGCCTCTTCTGGGCACAGCCATCTTGGCCCCAGGCAAGGCCAACTCAAGTCCCGGGTACAGCCCATCTTAGCCCTGCTCTCCACACTTCCAGGAGGGCTCCTACCCTGTGACTATCCATTTGTGTCCACCTGGCTGGCCTGGGACTAGATCTGGTCCCCTCTTCTCTGGCACTGTCCCCTGCTCTGCTTCCCAGCCACTGTGAACTGAACAGCTCTGTTCCCTCCAACCTATCTGCTATGACGTTCCTGCCTTGGCCCCAGCTTACCATGGACTGAATTCCCTCAAAACATGAGCCCAATTACAATCCACTAATACCATGGGTGTTGGGTGTTATGCCCCCATGATGGGAAAGCTGATGAATACACACCTGTACCCACACAGCTTCTGGACAGTTCTATGGGGTGGTGACCCTATAGGTGTTGGGAAGACATGGCCCAGGCTCCCACCTGCACACGGGGCCCGAACACATCCTAGTTGCCATGGAAGCTGGCCATATGCATCAGAGCCAGCACACGCTAGGGCTCCAGGAGTGCCTGGGGACCCTCCTAGAAGGGAACCCCGCTAGTCGATTCGCTGTTTGACTATAGGTTCTTCTAGAAAACACAGACAAAGCAGCATCTGGGGAGACGACCCGAATAACAAATGGCTCAGGCTCAGAGCAGGGAGACCCCAGCCAGAGGGGACCTCTTGAGGACATGCACAGCTCCTCTTTATGCTTCCAGATGTCATGTGAGCCACAAGGCCTGGTGTCTGCCCAAGGACCTGGCCCTCCTGCCTAGGGGCACCCCACAGGGGCTCAGGTCCAGCCCCTCTGCAAAGCATCTCCCAGATGTGGTGGTAGCTCCAACCACAGCTTCCTCAGTCTTGCCCACTGCCACATGTGGGCATGCACACCAGTGGCTCCCATGGTCCAGAATGTCCCCAGACAGCAGGATGTAGGTGTGGGTGTGGGCTGTGAGACGCAGAAGCCCTGGGTTTGCCCTGCCTCTCCCTGCTTGGCATTGTTCACAGGAGTATGCAGGGGAGCACATGGCTGAGCCCAGAGGAGGATGAAGAGAGGACGAAGCAGCTGCTCTTGTCTGGGTCCTACTGTGATGCTCTAGCCAAGGGTTGCCAGCTACCGGTAAGGGTCTCAGGATCTGAAGCACCCTGAGGGAGTGCCCAAGTCACAGGCTCAAAGGCACTCTAGCTGAGAGCTGAGTTGAGCTCAGGAATGCTGGCCACTGACCCTCCCCTTGAGGAGGAGGAGGCGGGGCAGGGGCTGGCTTCTGCAGGCTCCACTCACATCTGTCACTATGCCATTCAGTCTTGGCTTCTACTCCAGCGTCCTGGGACCTGGGGTGTTCCTGCAAGGCCCCCAGGGCAATTAATGGGTTAATTATGCACCCTATAAAGTTGCTGTGATGTACACAGTGGCTGACAGCTGGCAGTAAACCAGGGCTGCAGGGACAGGGCAAGGGCCATAAATCTGCAGAAACCAACAGCTTTATAGAGCTCTGGGTTTTACGCTATCATTAAAGTACTCCTGACACTTAAGGGGAAATCAAGTAAGTCAGGAGCAGGGTGCCGGGACTGCCCTGAGGGATGCCAGCACATGGCCTTCACCTGACCTGCCTGAAGGTTTCGCCAGGCAGAGAAGGCCTCGGATAGCACCATAAGCTCATGGCTCATTCTCCAGGGGCCGCAAACTGCTACACACCCCTGCATACACACACCTCACCGAGGCCCACAGCTGGTACCCTTGGGACCTGGTGAGCACCTCTTCCTGGCACCCAGAGCCTGAAGCAGTCCTTGACCAACAGGGTCCCTGAACTGGGTGCTCCCCACAAACTAGCCCAGGGCTCAGCCCCCTCACTGAGGTCCAGCTGCAGGAGAGAACCAGCCAGGAGGGAGGGCAATGCCAGGCTGGAGGCCTCCAAGTGGGGCTCTGGTAAGAGAGAGCAGGGGACTTACAGAGTAGCCTTTCCCGGACACTGCTTGCGCCGAACTCTGCAGGAAGAGGAGGAAGGACAGTCAGTGATGACCATGCCCGCCCAGGGGCCCACCACCCCATCAGAGGAGCGCCCCACAGGAAAGGAAGCCTGCCTGAGCAGCTTGGTGGGCCGAGAGGGCTGGAGTTGGGGTGGGCACACTGCTGGGGCCAGTACCAGGGGCCTCCTTTAGCAGCAGGACCCCTCCCTCCCAGCCCAGCAGCTCCAGCTGTCCTGCAGGGCCATACCCTAGATGCCCTGGCCCACTTGTTCACAGCCCACTGGGCAGGCACTGCTTCAACTGTCCTCACAGGGAAGCAGGAAGCCCAAGGCTCATGCCCCACACCTGTCTGTGCTTGAGGCACTCCTACTCCCTCGCTGTGCCTTTCCTGCCCAGGGTCCTTGGTGGAAGGGAGGAGGACACGGACAGTGAACAGAAGGAAGGGGAGGGGAGGGCAGCGGCTGGGGCACTGGCCTCGGGCTTGGTGGCACTCTGCCTCTCTGTACCTGCAGCCACACCGCAGGCCCGTTTCGGGGATGCCGGGGCCGCTCATTCACCCTAGAGCCACCATAAGAGATGGGTCAGCTAATGCATCTTGACCCTGGTCAAATCCCTGGCTGTGCACAACTGGCCTGTGCTGACCCACATCTGACCTCAGGTCTCCCCATCTGACCTGAGCTGGCTGAGCTCTAGGCCCCTGCCTGCACTGCTGGTCCCTAGGAGACACACAGCCCACCATGCTGTGGCCTTGGTCAGTCCCAGGGCAGCTGCTGGCAGGAGAGATGCTTCCCACCCCCAGCGTGCTCCACAGAGGGTCCTACACTTGGGCTCACTGCAGACAAACTCCACCCATAGCCACAAGCACAGGGGACACTGGCTTCCCACACAGGGTCCTGGTGGCCAGGCCATCTCTCCAGGAGCATGCTCCAGGGTCCTGAGGTAAGATCTGGGCGCTGTGAGGGTTCGACAATCACTAACCATAGCCTGCAAGTGAACCTGCAACCCCACAACGGATGCAGGGCTTCGAAGGCCATCACCCCGGAGCAGGTGTGGGACTCACATCACTGAGCTGGTCCTGGGAGTGGCTCCAGCAGGAGCTGGTGGCTTCAAGGACACTGTCATCACCACTGTTCTGGTCGCCCCCTCTGGATATGGTGACCTTCATCTGGGGACAAAGGGCAGTCTCAGTATGGCACACCCTTGGCCCTGCATGCACCTGGCCTGTCCCACCCATGTCCCACATCCACTAGGCACAGAGCCAGCCCAGGGCCTCCCAGGCAGCTGACCTCAGCAGGGTGACCTCAGCTGAGGGAGGGCTTGGGGGCATGGTGGCGTGCAGAGCCCATTCTCAGTGCCAGGGCACCCTGGTGCAACAGGAGGCCCACGAGGTCTCCTCCACGCCCACCTTGTCCTGCCCAGCCATACACACATTCACTTCGCCCAAAACGCTTCCTTGCTGGCATAGCATGTCCCTGGCTGTGCGCCCTCAGGCCACGGCTTCGCTCCTGGGCCTCAGTTTACTACCTGAGGGACAGAGCCGACCCTGGGTCCGGGCACCAGCACCAGCAACCAGCGTGCTGTCATTGCAACAGCTCCCAAGAGAAGCTCCCAGGCAGAAAGCTGAGGCCAGGGTGTGACACCCAGGCTGAAGTGGGTCCCTGTGTGTGTGCCACTTTTTATTTGGTAGTGATTCTAAATCTGCAGACGTGCAGGAAGGGACGGGCACCAGAGGTCAGGCCTGGACACGCTGGCAAGGACCCCAGGCCCATACCAGCCTCCCTGGCTGCTGCAGGGACACCTGCTGCCCAACTGGGGTCACAGTTCTTGGCCAGCATGCAGGATTGGACAGGGACACTTCGGCCCCAGCCACCCTGCCAGCCCATCCTAGAGTCCCCAGTGTGCACTCAGCCCCACCTGTGGCCAAAGTCCTGCGTCGGGACATTTTCGAGCCCGTGGAAGTCCTGCACACCTGTCCCAGACCGGCCAGGGTGGCTCAGACCGGACAGCTGCAACACCTCCCAGGCAAGAAAGCCCTCCCTCCCTACTCCCTGGCTCTGCTCTACAGCCACCCCTGCCGAGTACTCCCTGTCCCCGTGTGGTGGACAGAGGGGCCGGTGACAAGACCCAGATGGGGTCAGGTCACATCCAGGTGGCCTACCAGGACCCTGCCCAGTGTCCCCAGGCAGGACTCATGTGTGAGGCACAGGGTGGTGAATGTGGGGGCAGGGTGGGTTTTGAATTGAGGTCAGACCTCATGAATAGAGGACAAGTGTTGCGATCAGCACACAGAATAGCATCTGCTATGTGTCCCTGTTCTCATGGCTGGTGATGGGTCTCCCAAGGGCCCTCTAGCCACCCTGCCCATGTGCCATGCTCTGGCTGAGGAACCTTGTCCCAGGGCCCCTGAGCATCAACCTCACCATGAATCCCTTAGGAGTGTGGATTTCCAGCACCTGCAGAGGCACTGTAGCAGCTGCACGTGTGGCCTGCTGACCCTCTGGGACCCTGTCATCACTGCCAACCCACTGCATGCACAGCGTGGGGACAGCAGTTTGGGGTGGGCTCAAGGAAGACACCTGACCAGGAGAAGAGGCTCAACCCAGAGACACTGCAGGGACAAGAAAAGCCTGGCTCAGGGCTGCCGAGAACAGTTGTGTGGGCTGCTTACTGCATAAGGGCACCTGGGGTGGGGAAGAAGCAGGGTTGGGACAAACCCACACACCCCTGAGAGGGAGGAGGCAGGGCTGCTTTCTCCTTCAACTTGCTTGCAGAGCCCAAAAGATCAAGTCAGATTCCTGGGCCTTCCTGTCTACACCTGGGCCAGAAGGTGCCGTGTTTGCCCTGGGAAGGTAGACAGGAGTCTCTGTGGTAGTATTCACCCTTAGGCCATTTGCCCCCAAATCCTGTCCATCTGTCCATCTGCTAGTCCACTCATCTGCCCGTGCAAACAACCAGCCAGCCAGCTAGCCAGCTAACCAACCAACCAGCCAGCATTCACCAAGTTCCTCTAAGCTGGCACTGCTCTAGGCTCTGAACACGGGACATGCGTCCCTACACTCCTGGGGCCCACAGGAGCTGTTTTTCAGATAGTACCAGAGGATGGCCAAGTCTGCAGGGTGGTGGCAGGCAGAGGGAAACCCATGAAAGTCCATCCAGACCCATCTACCCAGAGACACCACAACGAGGACCCCACAGCGTGTGAGGTACAGGGCTGAGCCAGGGTGGGGTCAGACACACTAAAGTCCATTCTTGGTCATATCTGGCTGTCCATGGCTGCAGCCTCAGTGACAAGAGGTTTGTAGGCAGGGCAGGATGCGAGGCCCCACAGAGCTTCCTGGGCAGTGCCAAAGCCACACACAGCCTTGCCCACCTCTCAGGACAGGCACACCTGCCACCCATTTAGGGAGCCCTCTCTGGGCCTGCAGTCTCCAACCCCTGGCCAAAGCCCCTTAGGGCATCTGAGTTACGACACTGGTTCCCACCCCTGCCCTGGAGGCCTGGCTGGGTTGGCCTCCTGCCTACCTCTCATCCAGCCCCATACAGGGAGGGAGTCTGGGCAGCCTGGTCCAGGCCAGGGCCCTGCTTTCTCCACAGTTCAGAGAAAGGTATGCCCTGTGACAGATCCTGAGGAAGTAACCGAAGGAGTAAGGGAAGAGGTCAGCGAGTAGCCACCGCTGGGGCTTCAGTGAGCCCGTGTCTCAGCTCTGTTTCTGGGGCCCACAATTGTTTTGACCTTGCGTGTTCCGAAGTGCACTCTGGGGCCGTGAGCTTCAGCCTGCGCTACTGGACTGCACTTGGGCTCACAGGGTTCTACAGGCAGGTCTGGGGACAGGAGGTGCCCTGAGTGCTGGCCACCCACTGTAGGCAGGGACCAGGCTAGAGGCAGCCAGGACCCTAGGTCTCCCTGGCTGTAGGCCATGTAGCTCTAGGGGTGCACAAGGCTAAGGCCCCAGAAAAGGGGGCAATGGAGTGTGAAAAGGTAGGGGGGGCAGTGGGAGCAACACACAGGGACTCTGGACAGACCAGAGGTCACAAGTCCTCCAGAGAGCAGCCTCAAGAGCTCTGACCCACGTCTGAACTGCAAGCCCAGTCCACAGCCAGAGTGCCTCAGGTGGGCAGTGCCCCGGCCACACGCACCACTAGCAGCCTCAGCCACAGCCTGTTGCAAGGCTCACACTTCCTGAGTAGGACCTAGAGGGACCTGATAACCATGGCAGGCTGACAGGGACCAGCAGCATAAGGTACCAGCTGTGGGCTGACAGGGAAACTTACACCCCTTTTAGTGTGGCCAAGACACCACTCAACACCGACACCTGCCAGGACTCACACCCCTGAGGACCTCGACCAAGGCACTACCAACACCTCTGGGTGTGCAGAGGAAGCCTCTGGAGTCCAGTTCCCAGGGCTGAGGACTGAGCCCTGACTCATCCCGTCAACAAGATGAGGGTGCAGCCTGGTCAGGGAAATGGGGAGTTCCATATGACCCTGGCCGTGAGTTGTGTGTGTAAATTTACACTATGTCCCTTAGCCATCATTTAGACTCCAAATTCCCAGTGCCAGTGGGAGGAACATAGGGGATCACTCCCCTATCTCAGACTGCACACTCATCCAGCCCTATCCCCACACCCCACCCAGCCCTTCTCCCAAAGCCCCACCCACATTCCCTGGCCCGGGCCCAGTGCCCTCAGGGCCAGACAGGTGGTAGATTCTACGCATAACTCCTCTAACTTGGGGCCCTGAGGTGTGTCCTGCTGAGAACAGGGCAGCGACATCCGTCTCCTCCAGCTCCTTACAGAAGTCAGCCAGCCCAGGGCCACAGACTATAGTGCGCAACAGGCACAGGACGCTTGGAGACCACTCAGACTCCAGCCTGTCTGTACTCTGCACCACAAGGCCTCCTGGCCCCACAGGTCAGCAGGGGTGATGACTGAGGTAGGGCAGCTGGTGGCCTAAGCAGCTGGAGTCCCAGACAGGGAGATGCTGCCCCAGTCACCAGTTCGGCCTGTGACCCGCCACAGCCCCTGAGACCTGCAGTCCTGGGAACCAGAGGATGGGCTGGGCTACTGCCCAGGAGGAAGCGACCACATCCTCCGAACCTTGCCTGCCGAGATGCAACACAGTCCACAGCATGGCCACCCCGTGCCCCGCTCAGCCCCTGGCAGGAAGACCTGCTGTCTAGAGTCTGGGTCCAGAGCCTTGCCAGCTCCAGAGGGTGGCATCCCACCCATGGCCTGCACTGGCCCAACTCACAGGTGCAGGCAGGGCTGTGAGCTGGCTGCTGAGGGCCTGGGTGCTGGCCCCCCACCCACAGCTATATCAGCCCCAGCCCTGCTTGGTTCCTTGGACGTTCAGATCCTGGGACTGGGGCTCCAATGTCAGGTCCTGGCCTCCCTAAGACTTCAGCTGCCACAGGGCTGTAGTCCATGCTCTCCTGGGAAGCTCCTGGTGCCTCCCGGCCAAGCCACCCTGACTGTGGGCACCAGCCTTTGCACACATATCCATCGGTTACCAGCCTGCTCTTGCCATGGTGGTAACCTAGACCACGTGGTCCCCAGTCTCCCTCAGAGCTGGGCCTGGGGGGTCACCCAGCTAGGGCAGGGTTGGATCCATCCCCATGGGCTCTGAGTCCTCCAGCTCTGCTTCCTTCTCATCACACTGAGCTCTGTGAGCCGGAAAAGTACTTTCCTGTTGACTAAACTACTGTCTGCAGCACTCCAGGCACCTGTAGGCAGGGCCTCTGTCCTGGTTACGGCCAGCTCCAGCCTGACCTGTGCTGGGCCTAGCACCAACCAAATGTGCATCTGCCAAATCCATGTCTCTCCTCATAAGCCTGGACAGAAAGTAGCACAGCCCGGCTGTGCCTCAGGGCATAGTGTCCATCTGCAGAGGTAGGGGACATGTCCGGGAAGGGTGGACACAGGTCAGCCCACAGAGGGAGCTCACATAGGCACTGAAGGCCTGCACAGACTGCTTCCTAGGTACCCCAATGGGGCTTCCGCAGTGTCAGTCAGGCTGTCTGCCCAACCTGGGCTCCTATAAACACGGGAGAGAACTGGGGCACCTCTTCACACCCATACACGGACCGTTGTCATGCCAGAGTCCCCAATGCACGGAGGGGTGCCCCCGTGATGCACACATGGAGGCCAGGGTGTAGAGCCTGTGGAG